TTTTTTTTTTTCTTAATTTAAAAATTTTTTTTTGAGACAGAGTCCCACTTAGACAGCCTGGGTAGACTGCTGTGGTGTATAGCTCATAGCAACCTCAAACTCCTGGGCTTAAGTGATCCTCTTGCCTCAGCCTCCCGAGTAGCTGGGACTACAGGCGCCCATCACAATGCTTAGCTAGATTTTCTATTTTTTTTGTAGAGACAGAGTTTCACTTTATTGCCCATGATAGAGTGCCATTGCGTCATACAGCTAATAACAACCTCCAACTCCTGGGCTTAGGTGATTCCCTTGCCTCGGCCTTCCAAGTAGCTGGGACTATGGGAGCCCAGCAAAATGCCTGGCTATTTTTTTGTTGCAGTTTGGCAGGGGCCAGGTTTGAACCCACCACCCTCGGTATATGGGGCCGGCGCCCTGCCCAGGTGCCACCTGAGATTTTCTATTTTTATTCATTTTTCTATTGAGATAAAGTCTGACTTTGTAACCCCCAGTAGAGTGCCATGGCATCATCATATCTCACTACCACCTCAAACTCTTGGGCTCAAGCAATCCTCTCAAGTCAGCCTCCCAAGTAGCTGGGACTATAGGTACCCACCATAATATCTATTTTTAGAGATGGGGGTCTCGCTCTTGCTCAGGCTGTTCTTGAACTACTAGGCTCAAGCAATCCACTCACCTCTGCCTCCCAGAGTGCTAGGATTTTTTTTTTTTATGGAAGGAAAATGCTAGATTGGCAGTATTTATAGTTTTATTTAAACACAAATAGAGGCTCGGTGTCTGTGGCTCAAGTGGCTAAGGCACCAGCTACATACACCTAAGCTGGCGGGTTCGAATCCAGCCTGGGCCCGCCAAACAACAATGATGGCTGCAACCAAAAAATAGCCGGGCGTTGTGGAAGGTGCCTGTAGTCCCAGCTACTTGGGAGGCAGAGGCTAGAGACTCACTTGAGCCCAGGAGTTGGAGGTTGCTGTGAGCTGTGATGACATGGCACTTCACCCAGAGTGATAGCTTGAGGCTCTGTCTCAAAAAAATAAAATAAAAACAAACAGAATGTGCACATGAGCTGTCAATTCATTTTCTTTGCTGCACCACCTGGCATTGGGATTGGTGACTCTGATGCCAGAGTGCTAGGCTTACAAGCGTGAGCTACTGTGCCCAGCCAGCTTTCTTATTTTTAGTAGAGATAGTGTCTTGCTCTTGCTCAGGCTAGTCTCCAGTCTCCAACACCTGAGCTTTTTTTTCTTTTTGAGACAGAGTCTCACTTTTTTGCCCTCGGTACAGTGCTGTGGCGTCACAGCTTACAACAACCTCCAACTCTTGGGCTTAAGTGATTCCCTTGCCTCAGTCTCCCGAGTAGCTGGGACTACAGGCACCCACCACAATGCCTGGCATTTTTTTGTTGTTGCAGTTGTCATTGCCCTCCTAGCTGGCCAGGGCTGGGCTTCAAACCACCAGCCTTGGTATATAGGGCCAGCGCCCTACCTACTGAGCCAAGGTGCTCCCCCCACCTGAGCTTTTTTTACTTTGTCGCCCTCAGTAAAGTGCTGGGACATCACAGCTCACAGCAACCTCAAACTCTTTTTTTTTTTTTTTTTTTTTGGTGCAGACTGCCCTTGTATTGTAGCATCTCT